ATATTGTAAAGTTAACTATAACCGAATAAAAGGAGCCGGCCAAAAGGCCACCTTAACACCAAAAAAAAAAAAAAAAAAAATTTCACCAGTATCACCAATTTCACCAGTTTCACCAGTATCACCAATTTCACCAGTTTCACCAGTTTCACCAATACTGTTTGGTGATTGGTGATTGGTGAAAATTGGTGCACCATTATAGTTTAGTTTTGCCAGCAACTCTAAGCTAACAGTGAAGATCAAACCTCTAATACTTTGGAAAGACTGAGCCATGTTGACGAATTAAATATTTTGCGTGTGGCTATTAAACACAGCATGTGACTTATATAAAATATACAAAGGCAATAAACAAAATGATAGCTTGCCTTTCGTTTGTATTCAAGTACTATTAAAGAAAACTAGACTTTAGGCTTTTGAACTTATAATAAATCAATTCAGCCTTGAAAATTCAGAGCCTGAAATCCTGTTTTCTTTTAGTAGCGCTTATCTGTGTATTAATATTATTTCTGTAAAATAAACTTATCTAAATAGTTAAATTATTTTATTGTATATTGTTAAGATTTTTTCTCTTTAACATTTCATTGTCAAAACTTTAAATATTAGGAAAAATCTAAACAGTGCCCCCATAGCAAAATTGAGCCTGCAATATAATTAGGCTAGGTTAAGGTTAGAATTAGAGAGAAGAACATTTTTGCTTATGTTATATGACAGGGGTTACCTAGTCAAAATTTTGAGATATTTAGCAATTTTATAATAGGGGGCACTGAGTGCACGGGGCACTGATTAGTCCTATCCTAAATATTATACATATGTGGCAGGGTTGGCAATGGAATTCAATGGAGCCCAATGGAGCTGCGAATGGAACCAATGGAGCTCTGAATGGAACCAATGGAGCTCTGAATAAGCCAATGGATACTAGTTTTTTGAGCTCCATTCGCATAACCATTGAGCTCCATTGGCTCCATTGCCAACCCTGATATGTGGGTAGTTCGTTAACATTATTATTATGACAATTATTTCCCGATACTCTAAGGAAGTAATTGTTGTATTATTGACTTATAATAAATCAAATGTAGTAAAATTTACATCCTGATTGAAACTTGACCCGGGTCAAATAAATCAATTAAAAACCCCGGTCGGCATCATATAATCCTGGTCCTCACTAACTCTAAAATTCTTCTAGGTGTTATTTTGAGCCGGGTCAAGTTTAACTTGACCTAAAAACCCAATTTGACCCGTAATATATATGAAAGATTGATAATTACGTAAAAGAGTTTGAATTTTCTTTACCTTTCTATTTTATTAGTTTTCTCATCTTTTACCAATTTCATTACCTTTTTCCAGTTTCACCACTTTTTAGCAGTTTTACTAGTTTCGCAAGTTTTATCATTTTTGCCATTTTTCCATTTTAATTTTTTTTTGAAAGTCAAAACTAGTTTCGACTTTCGCATGTGGCGAAACCTCTAGGTTTTGCCTAACAACACTAGTTGAGACAAATTATCTGGCAATTTATGACCGTGATTAGTAAGAGTCATCGGCAGAGTTTTAATTTGAATAAACATGTTTATATAGTAACACGTGAAAAAAGAACAAATGAGTTTGCTGGATAAGGTATTTTATTTTGTAATATTAATAAAGTCTAGTCTTGAGATTAAATTAACCTGAAATAATTAAGAAATTCATTAATGATTAGAATTTATAAATTTTAATATATATTTAAAATTTATTTATATTTTATAATATTATAATTTTTGACCAAATGACCAATGACCAATTCATTTGGTCATTTGGTCATTGGTCATTTAAAGTGCCAACACTGTTACAAACGGGTCCTGGTGCGCTGTAACGCGCGTTAAATTTTTTTTAAATGTGCGCAAAACAAATACATAGCTTCAATATATATAGATTCTATTTTTTGTACGTACAATAGATATACGTAGTGTACATTAAAGCTTAAAAATATGAATTTAAAAATTTTAATGTGCGCATTCCGTCCATAATTTTAAAACATATGTACGTAAAGCGCACGTATTGTTACTCTTCAAGGTGCGGAAACTTTTTTAATGTACGTTCCGCACATTAATTTTAGACACTGTACGTAGCAAACAACCTTAGTTAATGAGTTAAATTAGCATTACTTTACACCGATTTGTAAAGGTCACGGGATGTTGATGATGATTGAATTTCGCATGATCTTCGTGATCAACCAATCATTAAAAAAGTTATTTCATAATCAATATTTAAATATTCCAAATTTATAACACAACACGAAACGTTATATTAGATGGCACCGCCAAACACAAGAAAATATGTGGCAGACGGTAAAAATGCTTATTCACTATCGTGCTTTTCACCTACTGAATACATTATTTTTGGGGTGCATACTTCATTACTAACCAAAGTATACTTTCACAACTATGATCTATAGTGGTCATATTTGCATTATCTCAAGTAGCACTTTACTTTGCCGTAAAGTTTATTCTCAATTCACTTGATCCTCTCAAAGAGAAGAAGAAAGAAGCTAAAGCTAAAAGTGAGGAAGTATTGGGAAAACTTGGGGTATGTATCTTTAAGAGTTTTCCGGCGTTTTGAAAGGTTAATCAAACTTCATTGTTTAAATTAAGCAGCGAAATTTAAAATTAAACGAATATGAAGAGGTAATCTTGTCAGAAGTAATCTTTTCTGATGAAATAACCGTTGATTTCAAGCGTATGTGTTATTACATCATTAATAAGTTCGACTACATGGGAAAAAAAAAAAAATCTAATCTATTTTTTCATTATTAATATTAGAAATTGGCGGTAATGTCCTTTATCAAAAAGATTTTTTACAATGAAATAATTGAATAACTGATTACAATTTCACTTAAAGGTCTTGATTCAATCATTCAATCTCTCCGCGAGTCTGTTATATATCCATTATGTTATCCACAATTGTTTACTTCAACGTCAGGACTGTTGGGCGTCCCCAAAGGAGTATTGCTTCATGGTCCACCAGGTACTTATAGATTAATTGATTAGTAACTTTTTAAATTTAAATAAATTATTGTATTTTTCACATCATTATATTGTGATAAAAAGGATGTGGTAAAACTATGCTTGCTAAAGCCCTAGCCAGGGAATCCGGTGCTACTTTTATAAATCTTCATGTTTCGACGTTGACAGATAAATGGTTTGGAGAATCAAATAAATTAGTTGCTGCAGTTTTCTCTGTCGCTAAAAAACTTCAGCCATGCATTATTTTCATTGATGAAATCGATGCTTTTTTGAGAGAAAGGCGAAGTAACGATCATGAGGTTACTGGAATGATGAAGGCTGAATTTATGAGGTAAATGCTATAATTTTTATTAATATATAAATGTCTTAATCAGTTTTAACATAATATTCATTTGATTTTGATAGTTTATGGGATGGCCTTACGACAAGTGAAAACTCACGCATAGTCGTGAGTAGTTTATTATTATCATTTTAGGTAGTACTCTTTATTTTCACCAATAACTAACTTTGTAACATTTATTAGGTTCTTGGTGCCACTAATAGACCCAATGATATTGGTATATATTCAAATCTCATAATCGAATTATATTTTTATTTATTTTTAAAGATTTTAAAACAATCCAGATTATGCAATTCTCCGTCGCATGCCCAAACGTTTTGCGATTCGGTTACCTAATGATGAACAAAGAAGAAATATTCTCGAGATTGTAAGTCTTTTTTAAATTAATCAAATATGAATTGAAAACTTTAACGATATAAATGCTTGAACTTGATTATGATATAAATGTAATTATTTAGATGTTACACGATCAGAACTTGGAGGAAAATTTTGATTTGGATAAATTAGTTACTCAAACGGCTAACTTTTCTGGTACACTCTTGTCATATATTTGTCTCTTTTCCCTTTTAAGTATTAATATCAATTTTACGTTTTTAAAAGGAAGTGATTTGAAAGAAGCATGCCGGAATGCTGCTATGATTCCGATCAGAGAATATATGCGGGATCATGCTACTCCAGATGGCGAGTTGAAGGATATTGATCCGAAGGTATTTATTATTTAATTGCTTTAAAGATTTTTTTTTTTATTTAAATAATAATGATTACTGTTATTGTTCAATAGGAAATGAATATTCGGCCATTAAGATTTACTGATTTTTTTGTTGCCGACAACTCAAATGGTAATAGCTCAAATGGTAGTTTAGGCTTGGTTTAGGTTCTAAAACCTTTAGGTTCCAAATTAAAAACCTAAGAGCCGGACCTTTATAAATAAGTTCCAAACCTAAGTTAAACCTGGTTTGGTTTTAGAATCAAATTTTCAAAAATAAAAATATAATGAAAGACTAATTCATACCAAACTTTTAGAATATATATATATATATTTGATTTTATAAATAACTTTACTTGATATGTTAATATTGATTTATTTAATAGAAATTTTCTATTTGTACACCATATAGTGTATAAAACCCAGGTAATATATTGTAATTTAATAATTGCTTTTGGAATTTTAATAAAAAATCTATAAAATTTTAGTATAAATTATAAATCAACTCTTTAATTCTAATTTTAATCAAATTAATTTTTTTTTTTAAATTCTGTATTACAGATTTATAGTATAGTCCGGTAACATATCAAATTTTGGGGTCGTCTAAAGCGGTGTGTAGTCACGTGACCAATGCCCAATCAAATTATAGAATTTTGATGATCGCCGGCGAAGCAAAACTAAACTTACCTCGGGTGGGTCAATTAAAAATGTCGGGAAGGCATTTTTGCTTATATATAACTACTTAAAACCTAACCTAACCCTAATATAGGATGGTCTAACCCTAAAGTTAATTCAATAAAATACACATGAATCTACAATCGAATTTCAGGATCAGGTGTAACGTAAAAATCGAAACGAAACCACTTTTTTACAAAAAACAAGAATAACTTTAAATTTTAATTAGGAACCACCTTCTGCGGCCTAATTAAAAATGTTCCTCGTGATGTTTTACTAATAAGAGCTATATTGTTCTAACTATAATACGCTTTTCTTGGTTTTCATTTTACACGCAACTTTTTATTTAGAAAACTTAACTTGTTTTGACATCTGATCTTCCCACAAAAAATTGTTCATCCCCGATAATTTTGACCAATCAAAAGTTAATATTCTACGGGCAGAGCTTAGGGATAGAGCAGAATCATGTGATTGGTTAATTAACGGTTAGGGTAGGGAGTAGATTAGTGGGTCCGCAGATCGCCGCCGACCCATCATCGGGATTTACTTATAAATTCGAAAGTTTTTTTAAAACTTCTAGCGATGATTTCTCAATAACTACTTGATTGAATTTGGTAAAAATTTTTTTATTTTAATTCTA